AGACCAACATGGCTACCCACCTGAAACGAGTGTTAACCAAAGAAATGTATGTTTCAAATGTTCAACTGTATGCAAATAAATTACAAATTACAGAGTAAAATATATAAGATTAATGTAATACAGGAATCATGTCATCTTCAGCTTGGGGTGGTGGTGGCTTTTTTCCTAGAAATTAAGGCCTGTTATCTTCACTGGCTTTACCGCCGAAAATTCCAACGTTTTTACAACCTCTTAGCTAAGTTAAAAGAAGATTTCTCCTAGGGGCACAAAGTCCATAATTTCAAAGGGGGATTAGAAAGAGAGACTGCTGAATTGCAACTATTAATGAAGCTCATGTTTCCTTCATGGACCGAGAAGTATTTGTGCTGGTGACTGAGTTTCTTATTACTACTTTTCAGCCTGTACGTTATCCAGACTAAAAACCTCCTGGCTTCTGCCTGTTGGTCACCCTGGGCTTCTGGTGCATGCACTGGTATGCTCTGGGTGCAGCACATAAGGGAAGCCTAGGCAATGTATTTTGGACAGCATTCCTAAATAGGTCTAATTGGAAGTAAGTCCTGTTTATTCAAAGGGGCTGGCTTGCTCATGGGAAAGTGTTTTCAAGACTGCAGCCTTGGTGTTTGGATCAGATCTCTGTGTATATAAAGTCTCTTTTGTAAAGTAACTAATGTTAATCAAAGAACAAAGTTTGAGTCCAGTGGCACTTAAAAGACAAACAAGTTTAATTCTGGGTATAAGCTTTCGTGTGCACGCACACTTCAGATACCCAGAATTAAACTCCGTTGGTCTTCAAGGTGTCACTGGGCTCAGACTTTGTTCTGTTGCTTCAGACCAACATGGCCGCCCACCTGAAACGAGTGTTAACCAAAGAAATGTATGTTTCAAATGTTCAACTGTATGCAAATAAATTACAAATTACAGAGTAAAATATATAAGATTAATGTAATACAGGAATCATGTCATCTTCAGATTGGGGTGGTGGTGGCTTTTTTCCTAGAAATTAAGGCCTGTTATCTTCACTGGCTTTACCGCCGAAAATTCCAACGTTTTTACAACCTCTTAGCTAAGTTAAAAGAAGATTTCTCCTAGGGGCACAAAGTCCATAATTTCAAGGGGGGATAAGAAAGAGAGACTGCTGAATTGCAACTATTAATGAAGCTCAAGACAATGCATCCTCCTGGACTAAATCGAGACCTAGGTTTCCTGTCTCATTGCCAATGCTGATTTCTCCATGCCTACTATCCCTCTGCATATCACACCTAACCCACTCATGCCTGTTTGCAGGAGAGATGGCCTATGACCATACCAGAGTTGTGGATCCCTCTTCTCTCAGTTCAGTTGGTGTCCATTGTTTATTATTAATAATGACATCTTCCCCTGGCATTCCTCTGGGAATCTCAAGGTAGTGTCTAGAGAGCTTCCATCCAGGCCCTCTCTTGGCTACAGAAAAGCAACTGCATCATGTGCCTGGGATTTAAAAATAGAGAACATAGGAGAAGAAGTCCGCTTCCTTTCCTCTGCTGCAGCTCAGTGAAAGATGGGTTTGTAGGCCATGGTGGGAGTTGGCTACAGATAGAAAAAACAATCTTGGGCGCAACACACAACCCTTTTTCCCAGTTTGATTCGTCAAGTTCACTGTTCTCTGCCTGCATGGAAAAAATGGCATGAGATGCGTGTGGCTGGCCATAATTGGTGATGCATGCTCAAAATGTTGTAGAGGAAGAGCACTGTCAGGCATTCACCTTGCATGAACACTTGAAGCTGCCTTATACTGAATCAGACCTGTGTCAGAACCCACAACAACGTAGTACACGCTTATCAGGAAAGGTAATACTTTATTGAAGAGCTATAGATGCATTAACATAGGCACTGTTAAGAATGGCGGCTGCCCCTGGGGCATAATAGGATATAGGGTATTTGTATGCCCCCCCCCCACTGCCCTGGCCAATTAGCCACACTCCCGCACGCTGGAGAAGGCGCTCTGGCCATTTGCGCTGAAGCTGGGAACCAAGCTCGCTCCCACGGTTCCCTTTGAACTAGACATCAACATCCCACCACCTGCAGAACGTAGAGATAAGCGTTACAGCAGCGATGAAGCACAGAAGGAATGCAAAGGCAATTAGAGTACAACTGACACCCCCCCAACCTCCATGGCAGCTTAGCTGACATACTGCCCCCTTGAAAATCAGCTTCTCCCCACCATTCCGGGAGGTCTCCCGGTTTGTCCGGGAATTCCATCACAGTCAAACTGACAGCAGCTCTCTAGGGTCCCAAGCAGAGAAAGGTCATTCACATCACCTACTACCTGGTCCTTTTTGCCTGGAGATGCCAGGGATTGAACCTCAAGACTTTCTGCAGGGCAAGAAGACGCTCAGCTGAGCCACAGCCACTCCCCATTATCGATGTTCTGGATATTTATCAGAAGCCAGGTGTGTTCTGAATTGCCTCTTGCCTGGAATGGCCAAGGAGACAGAGAATCACTGAAGTTCTGATGAGTCACTGCAGGTGCCTCATGTAGTCCATCTTAATGTTCCATTATATACGTTTGCTGAAAATATCTGCTGTCCAGGTAAGGTTGCCAGCTCCAGGTTGGGAAGTACCTGGAGATTTTGGGGGGGGTGGAGCCTGAAGAGGGTGGGGTTTGAGGAGGGGAGGGACATTAATGGGGTATAATGCCATGGAGTCCACCCTCCGAAGTGGCCGTTTTCTCCAGGTGAATTGATCTCTGTCGCCTGGAGATCAGTTGTAATCCCAGGAGATCTGCAGCCACCACCTGGAGAGCAGCAACCCTGTCTCCTCCAGGACAGGCAGTGCCACATGGATTCTTCAGAGAATTCAAGGCAATTCTTTGGGGTGTGAGCAGTATTTGAAATTTTTAAATTTTGGATTTCTAATGTTTTGAGTATTACTGTAAGCCCCCTTGAGCCAAGAGAAAAGGCAGGGTATATTTAAATAAAGAAATGTGGCTCCTCTGGCACTTTTGTTGCTCACATTGCATCATGTCCCTGTGTCAATTTGCTTCATTCAGCCACCTTACAAACCTGACATATACCCATCTTTCCTTGAAGGTGTGTTTTGGCTGATTCAGGATGCCCTACGGCTTATTTTCGGACGCAGAGACCATACATTCATTCATAAATAAGGAACTGGGAACTGCGAATAAGGGACGGAACGAACTTCAGCCTCCTACACTGGTTTACGCTGCGATCACACACTAAATAATCCTCTTTCAATGCACTTTCCAGCTGGATTTTGCCAGTTCACACAGTAAAATCCAGTCTGAAAGTGAATTATTTAGTGGGTGTGATTGCAGCCTTACTCTTAATTCTAGAACAGAGTCGCACCCGATTGTCCGTAACATACCTTCTTGTTTTGTTTTGCACACACCCCCAAAAGTTCACAAACTGCCCGTTCCGGCCCATTCTGGACACATACGGGATAGAAAGGGTTCCATGGAAGCATAACCTTCCAAGGCCTTGATTTCTAAAATGTCGTCCTCAAGGGTCTGTACGACATCCCACTGTTTCTTGCAAAGTTATTATTCTTACATCGCCGCTCCGATTTAATAAATCATTCTTCTGTTCCGCAGTAAGTCTTTAAGGAGGCTGCCCTCGAGCCTCCCTCTCTTTTCCTCCTGGCTGTCGGCTGGAACAACCGGTAACGTGACCGCTCCTGGCCACAAAAAAGGGGCCGGGCCGCAGGGCGGATCCTCGAGCTGAAAACTGCGGAGGCGAAAACGAGAGGTCGAGCGCCGGAGAAGTTGGAGCTGAGCCGATCCCTCCTTTCCCGGCATCTGTGGGGTGCAGACAGTGGTAAAGGCCGCTTTTTCTCCCTAACTTACCTTCCTGGTAGAGCCCATGTCCACCCACCCCTCTCTCTTGTCTCACGAGTACTTTCTCTAGTTGCTCCCACCTTTTGCCTTTTCTAGTAAGGACGTCGTCTATGAGTCTCTCTCCTTGGTGCGTTCCTTTATGTGCGTGCTTATGTAGCTGCTGCTAGCGCCGGGGCCCCGAAGTAGAGGGGGCAGGTGGGAGAAAGGTGGTAGTGGGTGTAAAAATGTGCCCACAAAAGACTGGCAGGAAGGGACGCTGACGCACCATTTTTCAACCCCGTGAAGATGTCGTTAACTTTCGATTGCTTTCTGCCTGTCTGGAGAGGATCCTGGCGTGGCGTTGTGCTCTCCCCTGGCCAGCAGATACGTTCTGTGGATTATAACGGATCGCCTTTCTAAGGCAGAGTCAGTCGTGAAAAGAGGCGAAAAGTCTGGGAGAACAACAACAACCCAGTTGTGTGGTGCGGTCCAGTACCCGAGTAGGACAGCGACTGTTTTCTTCCAACGGAGAGCATCTGCGTGCCTAACTAACCACTGCCTGGCAGGCAAAATTCAGTCGGTGAAGCTTTTCTTAGGGCTTCTCTCCAGCGGCTGTGCTTTCTGCAAAGCACTGGGGTCGTGTGGGGGAAGTGGGAGGGGTTCCTTAATTGAATCCACTCGCCCCACCTCCTGACCCCACTCGGTTTCAACCCTTCACATTAGTTCTTCGTTTCTAATGGATGTTGTACAGGTAATTCTTGCAGAATGCGTTCCAGTGGAGACGAAAAGTAGGCAGGCATTTTGGCATCCCTGCGCTTGGAAGAGGTGGGGCCCAGAAAGGAATACCCCTCCCCCTTTTTGAGCTTGCCTAACAGAGATGCCCCAGCCCCCAAGGAAGGGTATCTGCAGAAGTCGTGTGGGGGAAATGGGAGGGGTTCCTTAATTGAATCCACTCGCCCCACCTCCTGACCCCACTCGGTTCCCATTAGTTCTCCGTTCCTAATGGATGTTGTACAGGTAATTCTTGCAGAATGCGTTCCAGTGGAGAAGAAAAGTAGGCAGGCCTTTTGCCTACACAGCAGTGACTCTCTTTCCCCCTTTGGCATCCCTGCGCTTGGAAGAGGTGGGGCCCAGAAAGGAATACCCCTCCCCCGTGTTGGGCTTGCCTAGCAGAGGTGCCCCAGCCCCCAAGGAAGGGTATCTGCAGAGATGGGACAGCAGTGGATGCATAGTGGGTTATCCTTTTCATTCCTTAACAAGAGTGTCCCCGGTCACTGAAGTATCTGCATGGATCTGGCTGCGCCCTGTGACAAAACAATAATATTAATGGGACCTCATTCTGTTCTGTATTGGGACTGATTCTTCTGCCACCCATCTTGATTCCAGAAGGGACCCCCACCAGGGAATCTCTTTATTGCTTTTCGTTCTACATGTTGCTGGTTTTCTGCAAAGCCGAGATCAGCTTTGCCTCAGTGTGTGTGTGTGCACACATACACAGGTACACCCTCCCTGCACTAGATGGACCAGCTCCAGTTCTCTTCTGTGAAAATCCCGGCAGGCAGTTGAGTCGGTTCTCCCTTACATCCTGGAGTTCAATAACATCCATTATTCCTTTGGGACAAGCCAGAGTTTCTTTGGATTCTGACAATGTCCCAGTTAGTAGGGAAGTTTTTGAACAGTAGAAGCCTTTCCAGTTCCCTCAGCCCCTGCAGCTAGTAGATTCGGGGCCATATCAGATGTGTTTTGGGAGCTGCTAGAGGTCTTTAAAATTTACTTTTCAGGTACAGGGGCGGGGGCTGATTTAGATTGGGACTCTGCAGGGAGGGGTCTTCTTCCACGTGATACTTTCTGTCAACCTGAAATGGACCCTGGAGCCTTTACTTGCTTACAGCTGCACAGAAGTTTATATTAGTGGGTCAAATTTTGGATCCAGGGCCATTTCAGGTTGGGGGAAATGGTGTGGGGGGAGGCTTATCACCCTCGCCTTGCAGACTTTTGTGCCAAGTGAAACTGGGCCTTCCTGAATTTGTTTGTTTATATGTTTAGATCCCACTTTTCTTCCCAATGGGGACCCAAAGTGACACACACAATACCATTTCTCCCTCTTCCATTTTTTCTTGAACAATAGCCCTGTGGGGTAGGTTACGCTGAGAAAGTGACTGGCCCAAGGTCACCCAGCATGCTTGCGTAGCAGAATGTGGATCTGAACCTCTCCCAGATCCTGGCCTTACACACTGCACGGGGAATTCCAAGCACAGAACTCCATGTCTATGTTTGGTTTGCCCCTGTAAAGCAACTGGGGTTCTCTTAATAAAGAGAGTGTCTGACCCATTCAAGAAGAAGAAGAAGAAGAGATTGGATTTACACCCTGCCATTCACTACCAGAGGAGTCTCAGAGCGGCTTACAAATTCCTTAACCTTCCCCACCCTACAACAGACAACCTATGAGGTAGGTGGGGCTGAGAGAGCTCTGACAGAAACTGCTCTTTTTTCAAGAACAGCTGTGGCAGAACTATGGCTTGCCCAAGGTCATCCCGCAGCTGCAAGTGGAAACGTGGGGAATCAAACCCAGTTCTCCCAGATAAGAGTCCATGCACTTAACCACTACACCAAACTGGCTCACTCGAGAGTGGGGCAGGTGGGCAGCCAGCAAAAAAGAAGTCTTACCTGACAACACAATGTGTGGGGAGCTGGAGAGGGCACTTAAGCTCTGCAGAGCTGGAAACCAGACTGGCGTCCACTGCCAGACATGTGGTCAGAATGACAGATATGGTAGTGAGCTTAAGTTACTGGAGACATGGGGCTGGGCAGTGGGCACCCAATCTTGCCCTCCCCCAGAGACTTCTAAAACAGTAGTTGGGAGGCATTGTCAGAGGAAGGGGTTGATCACTCGTGTAGTTCAAACAGTGGGCACACACAAGAGCCCTACCAGAAAAAAGCCAAAGAAATGGGGTGGTCATAAGGTAGGTTAGACAAATGCATAATGTAAAGCTTTACCCAAATATCAAGTACAATCCTGCCCACTTACAGGACCATTTTTGTAGCACTAGAGTGTTGCAACCACACAACAGGGATATTGTTCTAAGCATATTTAACCAGGAGGGGAAAAAATTCCTTTGAGATTGGTGGAATTGATTGCTGAGTAAACATAGTTTACCCATGTTCTGACTCCAAAATAGGAATGAAATGTGCAGCCTGAACTGGACAAGAATGCAGTGTTAGCTAGCTTTGGTGCAAGCTTTGCTGTGCATACGGCTCTTTGCCGGCACCTGCAACACTAGCACTCAGTGCTTTTGGTGTTCAAACGGCTTCACGCATATTCTTGCTGTAACCTCTGCAACATCCCTGGAAAATTGGCCAATATTTTTACCCCTGTGTGGCAGATTGGGAGGCGGGGTGCTGAGAGAGAGTGGATTGTCTAGAGCCAGCAAGGTTACCATCCTCAAGATGGGACCTGGCATTATCCTGGAATCAAGTGATCTCTAGATTACAGTGATCAGTTCCCCTGGATGGAGGGAATAGCAGTTTAGGAAGACAGGCTCTGTAGCAGCATCAGCATCCCTGCAGGGCATTCCTCCTCTCCCCTCCCCAGGCAGTGCCCCCAGTAATCTCCAGGAATTCCCTGAGCTGGAGATGGCAATCCTAGAGATGACTGGCGTTGCCTAAGCCCACACTGCAGCCAGGCAGGCCCAAGCCAAAGCTCTGCAGCAGAGCTGCGGGGACTTGTTCACAGATGACTGCTGTGCAGGCCCAGGAGGTGCTGCGTGTGTGTTACTTGGGGTGACAAAAATACCTTCAACACGCCCTGATCTGCAGGCACATAGAGGGATTGGTCATTCCTTCCTTTTAGACCTGTGCTCTCCTGACTTTTTGCAAACTATGCAAAATGGAACTGTTCAAGGGGGCTTTTTTTGTACAGGGTAAATAGGTCTGTACTATACTGAAATGGTTCAGAAAGTTCAACTGGTAGAAGGATAAGGGCTGTGGCCCACCCCAATGTTTTGCTGCCTGTCACTGTAAGTATGGCTCCAGAGCTTCAAAACCATTTAATGTGTCAAGTTTCAATGGTCATGCTTTGTTTCAGGTTTGTTTCAGTTCTGTTTTAGATTTCTTCTTGCTCTTGGCTTCCTGTAGCCCAAACCCTATTGGACTGCTCATTGGATGTCCCATCCCGTCGATTGTACTTGACTTACACGACGTAATCCGCCTTGAATCTCATCAATAAAGGCACACTATAAATAACCTAAAGAAGTAATACAAGATTTAAAAACAAATAGAAACAAGGCAACAGTATAACGTCAGTGTAGTTTAAACCAGGGAGTTTGTTATCCAAATAACAGTCAAACATCTGGACATCTGTCACATTTTGCCTGACTTCGGTCGAAGCTAGTAAGAAGTGGCCACTTTCTGTCTTACTTTTTAATTATCTGTGAGCAAAACCACCATTTTGGGTAAGTGCTTGGAGCCATTTAGCATCTTAGGAACGAATTATGTTCCCTGTGATCAGATAATGGAACCAATCGTTTTCCCACCTCTAATGCCCCAACATGGTGGCATGGCACCCACTGACACCTTGTCTGGCACCCACCCAGTGTTTTTAGGAAGGGAGTGGGCCAGGTAGGGCATTTGGCCAGAAGGTTTCTTTGGCTGTGAATATTTTTTCAATGCTACTTTGGCAGCAGCTGTCACCACACCACAAGGATGTACACTGTGTGACTGAAGTTAAGTTGTTAAACAATCATTTTGTGGCTGGATCCACCTCCCATGGAAGCCATTTTGTGGCAGCCATTTTGTGACTGCACCTTCCATGCCATGTCTGAATTCTAAATATGCCTGCAGGCTCAAAAAGGTTGGGGATCCCTGGTCTGAGAAATATTCAGCTAAGGGAGAGCCAGTTTGGTGTAGTGGTTAAGAGAGTGGACTCTAATCTGGGAGAACTGAGTTTGATTCCCCATTCCTCCACATTCAGCTGCTGGCGTGACCTTGGGTCAGTCACAGTTCTATCAGAGCTGTTCTCTAAAGAGCGGTCGTTGAAAGAGCTCTCTCAGTCCCACCTGCCTCACAGAGTGTTTGTTGTGGGGAGGGGAAGGGAAAGGAGATTGTAAGCCGCTCTGAGACTCCTTTGGGTAGTGAAGGGCGGGGTATCAATCCGATCTCTTGTTCTCTTCTCCTCTCTCTTCTCTCTCTAATACTGAGGAAGGCACTAACTGAAATCTGAGGAGGAGAAAAGCTTGCCTCAGAGGGTGATTGTTCAGAGCAGTTTGATCATTTTCAAGGCCATGCTGAAATTTAAATAAACCGTATTAGATGGCAATCCCAGAGAGAGCCAGGGGAAACCTCACATCTGTCTATTTTGAATTCCTGCTTGGCAGCAGTACAGATTAATACAGAGTTCAAAGATGTGTTCTTGTATATGTGGCAGAGGAGTCTCTAATTCTAAGACCTCTTTTCCTCATCAGCTCTCACCAGCATGAAAGACGATATCAGTGTTTGTGAGCCGCTCCTGGAGGAGGGAGACCACAGCAACCTGGTACCTGTACAGAGAGTCTCATACAGAGAGAGGCTCTGGGGAATTCTTCCACACCGTTCTGTGATACCCTGTCTTAATTTATGGAACCATTTGGATTATGGCAAGGCCTCTTTTCCCCACAAGACTTCAAAGGAGAAGGCCACTATGACGGAGGCTACTGGGCCTCCAGTCAAGAAAAGAATCTGCACTTTGCTTCTGGCCCTCATCTTCCTAGCCATTGTGCTAATCATGCTGAGTGCCTCCTACCTCTTTTTCATTTGGTCACCGTGGAGCCAGCCAGCTCAGGCTGAAGTTGACTGGATCACAGTCTGTGAGAACACAACAGAGGCCATCTTGGTGGTGCCAGAAAAGCTGAGTGTTGCAACTCTTCTGAAAGCCCAGAGCCAAGAACCACCTCAGAGAGCCATGAGGAATTGCTTGGACGAAGCTGTTCTGAAGTTCTCGGAAGAAGGTGTGTTAAAGAAGAATGCCAGGATGGTCCTTCAGTGTAATGGAACGAGGCGGGAGTTCCTGTCTGGAGAAGGGGAAAATGACATTGAAGTAGTCTGGATCAGTGGAAGGGTGGAATACCTTGTCCATGAAGCCAGCCCCGAAGTCCGTGTGGCGAGGCTTGGCCGCCATCCTTTGCCACTGAATCTCACCACTATTATTGGTGTTCGCGAAGATCTGGCCACCCAGGCTGCCTTGGAGGAGCTACAGGACTGCCTTGATAAGGTTGTGCAGGAATTTCCCCGGGAGCCTATGGTGGTGCAAAACAGTGCCATGTTGATGGTATCATGTGGGGCAGACCTGAGCTTCATCTCTGGCGAGGGACAGACCAAGATCAATGTGTACAGAGAAGACTACATGAATGGGGATATTCAGTATCAGGTGAAAGCTACCGGGTGGGCTTGGTGGGCCAGGCTTTTCACGAGGGGCTCCACCTAGCTCAGAGACTGAAGGTGAACGATGGCTGGGCAGACAGAGGTGGGGGCAGCATTGTGAAACTCTGCTCAGGACAGAGAGAGTTGATTATATAGCAATTCCCTGCTTTCGAAAGTTCAGGGAGGGAGGGAGTTGAATTCAGCTCAGTCTTCAGTGCCTGTTCATTGCATGGTGGGCAATAATAAATTTTTCAGATGTAGTTATTTAGCAGACCAGCAGTCTTGTTCAGTATTTTATTCCAAGATGCGTCTCCTGAAACAAGGGACAGTGCAGAATCTCAAATTGAATTTTGGGATTTAAAAATCTGCGATTTTTGCCCACAATAAATCAACCGACAGGAAAATAAATGATAGAAAACTAAAAGTATACACATATATTGGTTCAGTGCTTCATAAATAACACACAGTGTTTGAAAATCTTCTTTGGCTTTTCTGATGCATCAAGTACAGTGCCTATAAGGATATTGTAGTAAATCAATACAGATAAAATGCACCTTTTTTTTTTAGAAGTGGGGAGGAAGAAGGGAAGAGCAGATGACATTTTTAGGCATTACTGGAACATACCTAACTTGCTAATCATAAGGTCAAAGATGCATGGGTGATTCATGACCTGGAACTTGCTCGACAATCTTTTTCTTTCTCCAGAGCCAAAATACTGCACTTTCCATATTTTTGTTCTGTATTTATTCGAGTGGAGTTTTTAATGTCTTTGCAGCAGAAGTCTGAATGTGATGGTTTCTTTTAAAAATTCGGTGAATGTATAGTTTTGGGCACCTTGTTCTTTATATACTAATCTTAATTTTTGTAGGCTTCTATCTATATAAAGGCTTTCAATAAAAAATTAAATTATTGCTAGTTTCTTTTGTACCATGCTATATGTTCAAAAGTTCCCTTCTTACTATCTTGTAGGTTATTGAATAGGTGATTAACCTTGGTTCTTTTTAGTCCTCCATTCGGGATAAATTTAGGATTTTCTCTGTTGCAAAGTAGCCCTAAAGGAATTTGTTAGCGGTTAATCATATAATGGTGCTTTGGGATCATTTTCCTTTACTACTAAAGTAATTTTATGGATGTTATTACAGCAGTCCTATAATGGAGGCCATCATTATTATCATTCCCATAACGCAGATCGGGTGTGCTGAGGCAAACTTGCCAAAGACTGGCTGCGGTCACACGGAGCATTAGCCACGCTACAGAGACGGAAGATAGGTGGATTTTCCGGGCCCGATCACAGTGCCACATCTGGGAAGCGTAGGGCTCGTGTGGTGAACCCGAGGCTTCCCGCCAAAGATGCGGGGTAAAAAACTAGTACCTCCGAGGTACTAGTTTCCAGAAACCGCGGGGCAAGGGCGGGCGCCTGATCGCGTTTCCAGTGGTAGGTCGTGGCATCCGGCGCCCGCTCATGTCCCGTCGCTAAAAGGTTTTTTTTTTCAAGTCTCCACAGGATGCTCACAGGCACCCAACGGCGCATGCACACACTTCGTTTAAAAACAAACAACACAACCCCCTCCTCTTTTCCGCCCCCCTCCCCATTCCTGGCTCAGCATGCTCAAGAGGAACTCTCTGCACTGGGCGGCAGAGGGGGAGGTGCAGGGGGGGGCGTGGCAGGAGGGTGGCCCAGCTGAAGCTCCTCCTGGAGGGGAATGGATGGAGGACACAGTTTGCATTCCTCTGCAGCCCTGGAAGGGGTTAAACCTGCGGAGCCTTTTGCTAGAGAGGCCGCTTCTTTCCCGCGCCACAGGATTGTCCTGTGATCGGCACCTCCCCCCTAACCACGGGACCTCAACGAGACGTCTGATCGCGCACGTTTATTTTGCTCCAGGGCAAACAGCCACGCTTCCTCCCCGCATTTTCCTGCCCGTGTGACCGGGGCCACTGTTGATCAACTAGTTAATGGCAGAGGTCAGGGGCTTTGGAACTCGTGCTTCTTCCGTGTTTTTTTGTCCCCTTGCCGTACTTATTTAGGGAAACACAGTTCTGCCCTTCACTGTTTTATCCTCACAACAGCCCTGTGAGTTAGTTAAGCCAAGGGAGGCTGATATGGGCCAAGGTCCACCAGTAAGTTTTAATGCACACACAAGGATTTGAACTTGGAGTCTCTCCCGCTACACTGATTGTCAGATTAACTACCTACCTAAATCCCTTGTCGTGCAGTCGGATCGTGAGCCCCTCTCTCACACACACACGCACGCATAGATCAACCAACACAACCCATCAGGGCAAGTCCTGCTGTAGAATAAGCTGGTTGGTCATGAGCTTGGTGGATCAGAAAAGGTAGCTGGTGGATCAGAGGCAGGCCTGTAGCCAGGATTTTGTAGCTTGTGGGGCGATTTTTTTTTTTTTCTGGTGGGGCTGCCATTTTTTCTGTCTGTACACAACTGTACAGAACAATCTGTCCCTAGAACAATCTGTGTCCCATTTCCTCGCCCTGATCTTGCAGTAGATTCTCCCAAAGGCAAAACTCCTTTGGCAGATTTGGGAGGGAATGAGGTAGGAAAGAGAACCTAGTATTGATGCTCTCCCCCCCCATTTATTCTCTCCTTGCACTCCTTCTCCCCTTGCCTAGAATAATCTGTGATCCTTTCATCTCTTTTTGCATAAGTCCTCAATGTATTTACCCCTCCCCAGACCACATTATAGTCGAATGTCTTCCAAGACTGAAATGACTTACTCCCAGGATCTGGCTGCAAGGCTTTTCTCTACTGTTGTACCCTTGGAGCCCCCCCCCCCTTCTTCCCCATTCAGAAGCAAAACCTGCAGAACTGCATACCCAGGTAAGAGGCTTCCTGCCCTTCCCAGGCTGTTCAGCCCTCTCAGAAAACAGGGTGGTTGAGCCGAGCCACCTGGACAAATTCCTGTGGGGCTGTCCCTTTAAGAAAGGGTGCGGAGCCCCGAATAGATCCATTGTAGCTACTTGGGACTGATCAGAAGACAGCTCATTCTTCAGTTAAGGGAGGGACAGCAACGGGCTAAACTGGGTGTGACAATGTGTATTTATTCACTTGCAAAGCAAGGTGTGTTTTGCTTTTTCAATTTAAAAAAGGAGCTCAAGGTTGAAAGGAATGAATCTGTGCCCTCTCCTTCACCTCTGACTGCGGCACATCCTGTTGGTCAAGCTGGAAAATGAAGTAAGGCAGGTACAGGGGCAGAGTTTGGTCCCCTTGCCCTCAAGTGCATTTTGGGAAATGCAAGAGAACCTATCCCCTGCTGTACACCTGGGAATGGGAACAAGTATAAAGGTAAAGGTTCCCTTGCACGAAAGCCAGTCGAATCCGACTCTAGGGTTGCGGTGCTCATCTCCGTTTCCAAGCCGAAGAGCCAGCGCTGTCCGAAGACATTTCCGTGGTCATGTGGCCGGCATGACTAAACGCCAAGGCGCACGGAACGCTGTTACCTTCCCACTGCAATTACTTGCTTTCGAACTGCTAGGTTGGCAGGAGCTGGAACTAGAGTATACAGGTGAATAAACCCACATAGATTCCCATCACCAGGTATCAGTTAACCTTTAGACAACTTCTGTGCACATAGATACAGATTGTACAAGATGGACGAGTCCCATTGTTTTCAGACTGGGCTTTTGGGTTATTTTAATAATTGAGTGCCATCAAGTTGCAATCAACTTATTGCAACCTCTCGTGGGGTTTTCAAGGCAAGAGATGAGCAGTGGTGGTTTGCCATTGCCTTCCTTGGTGTAGCAACCCCTGGTCATCTTGGGTCGTTTCCCATGTAAGTATGGACTGTGGTCAACCTTGCTTAGTTTCCAAACTCTTGACAAGTTTGGGTTAGTCAGGCTGCTGCATGAGTTATCCTGTGTGTGTGTAAAGTGCGATCAATTTGCAGCTGACTTTGGGTAACCCCCCTCCAGCAAGGGGCTTCCAAGGCAAGTAAAAAGCAGAGGTAGTTTACCATTGCCTTCCTCTGCAGAGACTTCCTTTCCAAGGACTGACCTGACGACATCAGGCTATACCATGCCCACCTTCCCTCCCCATCGATTATTTTAGAAGCCATGGTTTTTTCCAGAGTAGCATTAGTTGGCAATCAAACTGCTTAATAGAGAGTTAGTATGTGTGAGCACTGGAGTTCTTTGTAACACAAAGGGTATGTTTTATATTATCTGAAAACTGAGCTGAGCTTTTGTGGATTAAATTTGTAGTGTAGAACATTGTTCTTAGCTGCCTTGAGCCCTATGGAAAAGGTGGAATAAAAACATTTTAAAGAAATAAAATGGCAGACAAGGGGGGAAAATCAGGGCTTTATTTTTATAATGAGTAGGGGTACTTGAACACCAGTGTATGTTTTGCTTGCCAGTCATGAACAGGGAGCTGATTTTTTGACAGGCTGTTCAGGAGCAGTTTAAACCTCTTCACTGGGTTTCTTTTCACATACTCGTACAGTGCAATGTGTAGCATTTCACACCTTTGCTGTTCCTACACAGCCTCAGTCTCACTTCTCGATTCCCCCACAAACCTGTCTCTGCTGTTTGCCCTTTGGCGGCCAATTATATAAATAACAGGCAATTAAACTGATAGCAATTATGAATAAACATTTTTAAAGCATCTTACCGTTTGATATTTAAGTGCATGTCACTGTGGAGGTTATATTACACATTTTTGCACTGCCTCATGGCAGTTGTAGTATCCCTGTCATTTAACCTGACCAGGCCATTCATGACCATATGGGACAACTGATTTCATCTATTGTGCAGATGGAAAAAGCAGCTTGCAAGAAGTGGAATGCCAGCACCGCAGTTACTGTGCAGCCACGAAAGTGGTTGGCATATTGGAGGATCAGTTCATGTGTGATCACAGCGGTGTGCGCACTAAATCTTTAGTGGTCACTTGGATGTTTCTCCCCCTCTCCCAAACAGAAGTGAAGACAAAAAGTTTCTTACTGTTGTGGGGTTTTTTGCAAGTCCCCCTTTGCCCTTTGGGCAGGTCACTGTAGATCAGGCCCGTAGTCACCAGTGGGGCATTTAGGGGCAGTGCCCCCTCACTCATGCCCCAAGCCCCATAACTCCTGCTGTGGGAGTTGTGCCGGCAGGTAAGGAAAGACCCTTCTTCACCTGCCTGCCAACAGGATCTCTCTCTCCCCCCACCTCCCCCCAGATTTCCCAATGCCCCACCACCCAAAGTTTTCTGGCTACACCCCTGCTATAGATTTTTGTGGCTGTAATTCTCTCCCATGTCTGGTCTCTCTCTGCTTCTTCTGCCCCCAGAATGCTATTCACTAAGCCCTAAAGCCCCCTGCTACATACTCCTCCACCTGGCCCTCAGGCACGGAACTAGTTGGTCTGAGAGCCAGTTTGGTGTAGTGGTTAAGTGTGCGGACTCTAATCTGGGAGAACCAGGTTTGATTCCCCACTCCTCCACTTGCAGCTGCTGGATGACCTTGGGCAAGCCATAGTTCTGACAAGAGCTGTCCTTGAAAGGGTAGTTCTTGAAAGAGCTCTCTCAGCCCCACATACCTCCCAGGGTGTCTGTTGTGGGGAGGGGAAGGGAAAGGAGTTTGTATGTCACTCTGAGACTCCGAGTGAAGGGCAGGATATAAATCCAATCTCTTCTTCTCTTCCTTCTCTTCTTTTTCCCCCCATATATTCTTGCTTGGGTCCTATCATTCAGATAGCCCCGCCTTTGGACCTCTCCAGAACTCTGGAGTCTTTGACTTCCTGTTTCTTGAGGAACATACGGGAATAAGAGGAAGGGTGATGGTTCAGTGGTTCACGCTTGGCATGCAGAAGGTCCCAGATTCAATCCCCGGCATCTCCAATTA